CTTTCTTCTTATCCATCATTATCTCCTGCCTGGATCCTCAGCCTTCCTGCTCCCCTTCTTGTTCCCAATTCAATTCATCTCCACCCAGGAGCCAGAGTGGATCTTTCTAAAATTTCAGTTGGACATACCTGTCTCTCTTTAAAATCATTCAGTGCCTCCTCACTCCCTTAATAAAAAGCTTGGATTCCTCACCATTGGTTTTTAAGGCCATCTTTTACCTGGATCCTACTTAATGTTCTAGCTCCATTCTTACCTCTCTTCTCTCCCTTACATTAAGGCACTTCCAAACATATTAAACTTGTTGCTTTGCTTTCTTTCACCTTGGTATCTTTTACTTGTTTTCACTGTCTGAGACTCTTCTTTTTCTCCTGGCTAAGTTATACTCACTTTTTATATCCTGACTTAAATTCCGCTTTCTTGGAAGAACGGACATAGCACCTGCTTAGTACTCTGCCTTCACCAGTTCTCATTCCTACATCTGGAATATAATATAAAGAGCACAGGATTTGGACTGGAGTGGGAAGGCCAAGGTTTGACTCCTAATCTTTGCTATGCAATTTCGTGGAAATAACCCCTTCAGCCCTAGTTTATCTCTAAAATGGGATAATGATACTTTTTTGCAAGCCTATTGAAAGAGTTCATTGGCATATATAGAAGGATTCTGTAAGCACTAATGTGCCATGCTCATTTAAATTGCTGTTATTATTAGTGCTGCTGCTCCTGCCATGCCTCTCTTCTTCTTCCTTACTGCCCACCACCCCCATCCCTATCAGTCTTTCTGCAGTGTCTTAAATGGGACTTGGGTTTTGTTTTTGTTTTTGTTTTTTTGTTTAAAGATTTTATTTATATATTTGCAAGAGAGAGAGAGAGCACGAGTGAGTGCGCATAAGCTGGGGAAGAGGCAGAGGGAGAGAGAGAAGCAGGCTCCCCAGTGAGCAGGGAGCAGATGTGGGGCTTGATTCCAGGACCCTGGAACCATGACCAGCACCCAAAGCAGATGCTAAACTGACTGAGCCACCCACGTGCCCCTGTTTGTTTGTTTTTTTTAGGGGACGAAGACTTTACCAAAGAGATAACAGATCTATTTTCCCAGCTGCATGTCTCCTCCAAACCTGAGAAACTTGCGAGGGTAAGTTATTACTTGGTAATTTTCATTTTATTTTTAACTTGTGTTGATTTAGTAGATAAAGAATATAAGATTCTAACTTCGTGGCAAGGGTGTCAACAAACTGGGGGTATATTCTGAGTTCCATACCTTCTACCTGCCTCCTGCTATCACAGGTTAGCATGCAGATCTCACATCTGCCCTGCCTGCCCCACACTTCTGCCACCCTCACCTGTTTTCATGTGGAATGCTGCTTATCTGAAAGCTCTTATTAGGCCACAGGGTTGGCAGCCTTTGTGAGACCAGTGGGCTCCCCTCAATTGTGGTCTCCCTCTTCTCAGAACTCTGAGTGATTCAAAGATGATGGAATGTGGCCCCAGCCCTTATGGACTGGATGGAGGTTATCATTTCCCATAGCACAGTGACCCTTTAGCTTGTGCAAATGAGAGTCCCTTGGCCCAGGCCTTGGTCTTTGATGGTGATGTCTGAGCTATCTTCACACATTTGGAACATGAGGGGCTTTAGTCAAAGTCAGCAGGGAGGGTCTGTTTTCAGAGCAATACTCACCTAGCGTATATGCCAGGGCCAGCTCATGGGACACTATCCACTGGGTCTTGAGCTGCTTGCTGCCTCTTCACCATCCTCTCCCAATCTCTGGAAACATCTCTGGACCAGTTAATGGCAGGCACACGTTGCTGCCTGGCCGGGATAGCCATGATAGTCGCTTGCATACCGCAGGGCAAGGAATGTGATGCTTGACTTGCTAGCCCACTCTGTCATGCCCGGTGAAAATGCTACATTCCCCAGGAAGATTTTCAGGTCATCCCCAGGCAGCTCATCTTCTTTGTCTCACCTGTAGCACTTGACCTCAGCACTTCTAGCTTGTATCATCGTAATGTTTTTTGATTTGGAAATAATATCAAATTTAGAGAAAAGTTGCCCAAATATAGCAAATAAAATTCAATATCTTTTATGCAGATACATCCTTTGTTAACAGTTAACTCCATACATTAAATCATTTGTGTTTGAGCATTTGTTCTCTCATTACATCTCCTATCCCTTCTCCCCCTTTTCCCCTTCTTCCCTTTCTCCCCCATACAGCACCACACACGTACACATGCACACATGTATGTTGTTATTATTGGGACTGTTTGGGGGAATTAATTGTAAATGTGATAGCCCTTTACTCATAAATATTTTAATATGTACCTGCTAAGAATACAGATATTTCCTTATGTCACCACAGTAGTTCTCACCTGCTGTAAACTTAACATTGACACCATATTTTTTTTTTACAGATTTATTAGAGAGAGAGTAAGAGAGCAAGAGCGTGAGCAGGGGAAGGGCCAGAGGGAAAGGGAGAAGCAGACTCCCCACTGAGTAGGGAGCTTGACTCAGGGCTCGATCCCAGGACCCAGAGATCATGACCTGAACTGTAGACAGAGGCTTAATGGACTGAGCCACCCAGGCATCCCTGATACCATATTTTTATTTAATCTCTTGTCCACTTGTCCACATTCTGGTTTTGGCAGTTGGCCCAACAATGTCCTTTGTATCAAATTTTTTCGTCTAACATTGGAGCTAGTACATAATCATGAATTGTGTTTAGTTGTCAAGTACTTTTATTCTCTTTTAATCTGGAGTAGTTCCTCATCTTTCCTTGTCTTTTATGATGAGAAATACAGACTCCTTTCCCCCTATATAAAAATAGAGTATTCCTCATTTGGGGTTTGTCTGGTGTTTTCTCATGAGTAAAGTCAGGTTATGTCTTCCCAAGCAAGACACTTCATAAGCGACATTGTATCCTTCCCAGGCTATCACACCTATAGCACATGATGTCCATCTTCCCCTTATTGTAATGTGTTGCCTGGTTTCTCACTGTATTATTACAATTTTTCCTCTGTGGTACTAATAAACTTTCTGTGGAAGACATTTTAAGACCAACAAATACCCTGATTCTCATAATTTCCCTCCTAGATTTAGCATCTATGCATGATTCTTGCTGCATCAGTGTTTACTGTGATGGTTGCAAAATGTTGATGTGTTCTAACCCCAGCATTTGCTCCACATTTATCAGTTGGCTTTGGCATTCTACTATAGTTATGAGCTCTCCTTTCTCCTTTTTCTTTATTTATTATCTGTTATTTAATATGATCGCACAGGTTTCAGTTTTTTCCTTTGGTTTGTGATTCATTACTGTTTTAGTTAGTTTGGTATTCAGATTGTCCTTCAAATGGACTCCTGTGTGACATGCACTTATCATTGTTTGGAGTATTTCCTTATTTTCTGTCATAACAAGATATCCTGGGCTCACTTTGTACCTTCCATATGCCATCCCTGGAATCAGCCATTTCTTCAAGGAGCCATACTTCCTTTTTTTTTTTTTTAAGATTTTTATTTATTTATTTGACAGAGAGAAAGAGAGAGAGAGAGAGATCACAAGTAGGCAGAGAGGTAGGCAGAGAGAGGAGGAAGCAGGCTCACTGCTGAGCAGAGAGCCCGATGCGGGGCTCGATCCCAAGACCCTGAGATCATGACCCGAGCCGAAGGCAGAGGCTTGACCCACTGAGCCACCCAGGCGCCCCCATACTTCCTTTTTAATAGTACAGGCTAAGATGTGAGTAGTGGGTGTGTCTTCTTCACTGCTATGCTGTCTTTGCTTCTAGGCCTTGTGGGCAGAGCTAGGAAATGTACTCACGTATACACACCCCTGTATTTGTACATGTACATACATACATATGTTAGAGATCATGAGTTCATCCTGGCAACTCCCAATTTCAGTCCATCCCAGCAGGGTTCTTCCTGCCTTGCCTTTCCTCATGACACGTTTGTGTTTCTCTTCTTCCACAGAAAGAACCCCATCTCCCAACATTAGTGCATGTCCTTATTTCCTCAGTTCTGTAATGCATCTGAAATAGTTTCATTGCTTTGCCCATTCTACTATAAAAACAACCTATGGAAAGAATATATGGTTTATTTGCTATCCCCATGTTAATTTAATTTTTGAATATATAGAGTATTATCATGTTTCCGAAAGTCAAAACTGTATAATTCCCATCCATTCCATTTTCCCTTCTCCTTTTAGATATTAAACTTTCTTGCTTTTTGGCGTGTCCTTATGTTTCTTTTTTTAGATAAGTAGATGTATTTTAAAGATAAGCAGATATATTTTCTTCTTATACAAAAGTTAACATGCTGTGTATGTTCTTTAGCATTTTGCTTTCCTCTCTTAACCTTATGCATATGTATTTTTATAAAAGTGTCATAAGTTGTTTTTATTTGTTTTTTTAAATGTGTATACCTTACCTCCCATCCTAAATCTTTTTTTTTTTTTTTAAGACTTATTTATTTGAGGGATAGAGAGAAAGAATATGATCTGAGCCGAAATCAAGAGTCGAATGCTTAACTGACTGAGCTACCTGGGTGCCCCACCTTCCATCCTAAATCTTAAATTTCTTCAAGGCTAGATCTTTGCTTTATTGGTCCTTAAAATCCCAAATGTACTATTTCTTACTTTGTGGTGTTGAGTAAGTTGTTTATCCTCTTTATGAGAAAAGGATGATATAGAGTTCTTGTGAAGAATTAATGTGTTAGTTAATACACACAAAACTTATGGAGTCCCTGACTCATTGTAAATGCTCACCATTAATGGTCCTATATATAGAAGCTAGCCTCATGTATTATACATTCAAGTATTTGATAAATACACATATGTCAATTAACTTTATTTTGCTAGGTGCTAGGGAAATAGTAATTAATAAAACATAATTTATGTACTCAAGGAGACCATAATAATAAGTTATTTTAAAAAAGCAAGTAACCCCTTGGCTGTTTGGTACTACTAGTCATTCTCTGGAAGCAGTCTTCACATTGTTTACATTTTGGGTGTCGAGTCATAAGAGGTAGAATAGTTAAAGATCAGGGCCTGATTTTCCCCAAGGGTTTATATGGGAGACTGTGTCATAAAGGGGAAAAGCAATGAAGCAGGAGTCTGAGAACACAGTTCTGATTCTTATTCTGATACTTGTGGTGTGGGCAAATCCCATTTCTTTTCTAAGCCTCATTTTTTTTTTTTTCCAACTGATAAAAAAATAAGTGGTTGGAGAAGCTAAGCTCCAAGGTGCCGTTTAATTCCTAAGTCTCCAGGCCTCTCCAGTGGGAAGGTCCAGACTGAATTCTGGGTGTGAGGCCTGGGTAGCATTGCTGATTTTCAAAAGGTATAATAAATTACCTTGATTTGGCACAGTAGTTCATAATGACTTCAAGAGCAGTCATTCTGAGTATGTGCTATGCCTACTTAAACATCTCCTTTAAATGTACTACATTTATGATACTAGTTTTCTTCTTTTGTGTGGCCTTATCTCTTAATTTTTCTTTCTTCTTTTAATCTGAGATAAATCAATCCCTGGTTTTTCTCTCATTTTATCTCTTCAAAGGAATTGCAGAGCATTTCCCATACTATTTAGATTGTTAGTCATCTGTTAGGATTCTTTCCAGCCTCATCTCTCACTGTTCCTCTTCTCTCAAAATCTCACCACTCCCAACCTCATCTTCTACCATGCTTCTCCCATATTGGTCTTCCTTCTGTTCCTTCAGTACACCCACCTGATTTTCCTATGCTTATAGCTCTCATTGTCTAAATATTTGCATGGCTGACTCCTTTTAAACTTCAGATTTTGGCTCAAATTTCACTCCTCGAGACCCTCCTAACCACCCAAGCCAAGTCTGCCTTCTCTTCCAGTCCATCTTTCCATCTCTCCATTTTATTTTCTTTGCTAATTTGTTAGTTTGTTAATTGTCTTTCTGTACTAGAGTAGAGAAGAACAGGACTATGGTTTATATTAGTCGCCACTGTATTCCCAGCACCTAGAACAGCGTGTAGTAAATATTTATAATGGATGAACTAATTAATAAAGGCCCCATCTGTGCTGGTCTTACGAGTTGCTTCACAGTTTTTTCAGCATACTTTGAGTTTTCTTGTTTCCAATCTTTTATATAGTTACTATTTTTTTTTTAAAGATTTTATTTATTTATTTGACAGAGATCACAAGTAGACGGAGAGGCAGGCAGAGAGAGAGAGAGAGAGAGAGAGGGAAGCAGGCTCCCTGCTGAGCAGAGAGCCCGATGCGGGACTCGATCCCAGGACCCTGAGATCATGACCTGAGCCGAAGGCAGCGGCTTAACCCACTGAGCCACCCAGGCGCCCCTAGTTACTATTTTTTTAATTTGAGAGGTTAATGCAGAGGTTAACGCGAGTTAATGCAAGTTCTGATCTGAACTTATAGATCAGAGGCAGATTGTTCTTGAGGTTTTTATGGGAGTTCCTGTGTCATAGGAGAAAGAACCTTTCAGTGAATGTCTGGGTACATGGGTTCTGCTCTAGGTCATTCATGATTTAGCCTTGGGTGTAGCCCCATCTGTTGATTTTAAAGGCTCAACCTCAGTGCTGTATGTGTAATAAAACCTGTGATTTTCATTTCTCAGCTGGAATGACTCTTACAGTCTTCTTTGGATTCCTAATTGCCTAGTTACAGCTCTGAATGCATTCTGTCTGTATAAAGTTCCTCAAGTGGATGCCTTCATTTAATGACAATAAACCTTTTCTTAGAAGCCAGGACACACTCAGTTATAAATGACAGAAACTGTAGTCAGACTGGCTTAAGAAAAAAGGGGCATTCATTGGCTCAAGAAACTAGAAAATCAAAGGGCAAGACTGACTTCAGGCATGGCTCTCTACCCAGGAACTCTATACCAATCCCCACACCAATCTCTTGACTCTGCTTTCTTCTGTTTTGGCTTTATTCTTAGAGAATCTTTTCCACTTGCCGGTAGGATAACCACTGGTAACTTCAGGGTGACTTTTTTCCATTTGAGTAACTCCAACAGAAGTACCTCCAACAGTAATTTTATCAGATGTCTTGAAACTGATGCTCATTGACCTCGGTTGGGCTCACTTTTCCATCCATGAAGTAATCGGTGTATGAACAGGGGGATTAATATTCTTGGTAACTAAACCTGAATTATTTGCCAACCCTTAGAGCCAGAGGGTGGAAGCAACCCTACCCAAACCACATGAGCTGAGAAAAATCTGGAACCTCCTACCAAAAGAAAGGAGGTATGAATGCTGGCTAGGTAAAAACAGTTGGTATCCTCCGTAGTGTGCAGGCACTGGGTGTGTAAATTGAATTAAGACAGTTTGTAACCATCCTATAGCAATGTTGTTTATGTAGGAGATACGCACATTTAATTTCAGTGTCTTTTCGTAAGTACTAAGTTGAAGGGGTGTTCAGGGGACTGTGGACATAGAACAGGGTTGTTTAGGTGCCCAGTCTCCTGGAAGGTTTTTGAAGGTTACCCGGAAAGAACAATGTCTGGTTGGAGGACTGAAAGAAAACTAAGAGCTGCCTTTATTTAGAGAAAAGAAAAGGGTGAGGAAGGGCTTTCTAACCTAAGGGAATAGAATGAACGAAGAATGGGGCACATTACAGGTCATTATTATCAGATCTTAAAATGGAAAGTGGTCAGAGATGAAGCTGGAGAAGTAGGTAGGGTCTAGGTCATGGGTACTTCTTTAGTCATGCATAAGATCATGTTCTTATGATCATGGGGATTGATGGGGAGCCATTGAAGGGAAGCCATTGAAGGGAAGAGGAATGATCAGCCTATAACATATCCTAATATATATGTCCAGCAAACAGTTGGAATATGTCATTTCAGAAGAGGTCAGTGCTGGAAATAAGGATTTAGGAGTTTGCAGCAGGTAGAGAATACTTAAAATTATAGAATCAGGATGGGTTGAGGGAAGAGGAATAGGGTGAGACAAGTTGAGGGCTAGGCTAGAACTCCAGGTGATGCTGTGTTTAAGGGGCCGAAAAACAAGGATCAGTACATACAAGAGCCTAAGGAGGAATGCTTGTAAGGGTGGAGGCAGAACTGGAAGATGGTGGTATTAGAAAATCAAAGAAAACTGGAAACAACTCAAAGGCCCATCATCAGGAAAATGGCAAATTATGGTATATGTATAAAATGAACTACCACACAGCAAGAAGTAAGAATCAGCAATTGACACTTGCAGTAGCATGGATAAGCCTAACAGACAGTATGTTAGGTATAAGAAGCCAAACACAAATTAGAAAGGATTTAAGATCTCATTTGTATGCATTTTAAAGACAGGTGAAATTAATTTACAGTGAGACAGAAGAACCATTACCTTTGGGCAAGGGGAACAGTGACTCGGTTTGAGCAGAATTTTTTTTTTAAATATTATTTATTTGACACAGAGAGAGAGATCACAAGTAGGCAGAGAGGCAAGCAGAGAGAAGGGGAAGCAGACTCCCCGGGAAGCAGAGAGGCTGACATGGGGCTCGATCACAGGCCCCTGAGATCATGACTTGAGCTGAAGGTAGAGGCTTGACCCACTGAGTCACCCAGGTGCCCCTGGTTTAAGCAGTATTGACTTGGAAGGGACATGAGGGGACCTTCTAAATGCTAGGGTGATGGGAATGTTCCAGATCTTGATCTAGGTTGCAGTTACAAAGGCATATACACATGGGAACATTTCTTGAATTGTGCTCTGAAGATTTGTGCACTTTATGTAAGTTATACCTCAGTTTTCAAGAAGGCCAAAGGATTAGAGAATTTCAAGAAGGAATGAGTGGACCGTAGTGTTAGGTGTTGTCAAGAGAAGTACTAAGGTAAGTAGATAGGTGTATGATAAATGTATGTTTGGGTGAGAACAATAGTGCTGACTTACATGATGCTAACATATTTCTGGTAGGTGCACAATGTATATAGTCACCTTTTGGTGAGCTGAATTGAATTGTTGATGGGCAGTAATCTTTTTCTTATTTAGGCAAGAAATACTGCCTACGAATGGATCAATACATCTCTGGCCAAGCCATTAGAAGAGAAGGAAGAAGGAGAGAAACAGTTGGAAACAGAAAAAACTGACCAAATCAATAAAAATTCAATAGAGGTACCAAAGCAACTAAACCTTTTTTTCTTTTTTAATGGTGTGGAGATGTTGGTATCACGATCAGGGACGTAGGCACCTTCTGTTTTGTTGCATCACTACTCATCATTTCAACCTTGTAATCCAAGATTGTAGTAGCCTTGTTCCAGACTCTAGAATGAAAGAAGGAGTGAAGAAAAAGAGACTAAAGGTTTGTGTGTGTTGGATGTATCATGAGGAAAGTCCCAGAAGCTGCTATAAGCCCCTTTTTATCTAAATCTTTTGGCCAAATCTTAGTCACGTGGTCACACCTGACTTCAGGGGAGCTTCTGTTTTTGTAGTTATGAGCCCAGCTTGTAAAATGACATCCCTGCCCTGGTAGAACAGGAGGTTTACTGAAGGGCAGCTACTGGTCTCTGCAGCTTTCAAGATACCGAATCCTCCAGTATGAGAGAAGCAAGCTGACAGCATTTCCTCTGGGCTCAAAACAAAACAAAACAAAACCCAATGCCTTGTTTTGTTTTTCTGTTCAGGATATCCATGCATTTGCAATCCGGAGCCTAGCAGAACTGACTGCCTGTTCAATTGAACTGTTTCACAAAACAGCAGCTCTGGTTCTGCATGGCCAGAAGCAGGAAGTGACCGCCATAGAAAGGAGCAGAGCTCTTTCCCAGTAAGTATAAAGGGTATTCCTGTAAAGGGTGCAAATTGATCAGAGTTTTCTCAGCTTCCTTCCAAAGTTTTAAGAAACTTCCCTCTCAACAAGATGCTATTCTCAGGTTAGAGATTTGTTCATTTTGGGTTTTAGTTATTAAGTAGCCGAAGGGGTTATTTCTTTTCATTGACCCATAAATCTACATTATAAATGTTTTTATTAACTGGTTGTTTTAGTAATTATTTTTTATTGTTGATAATCTGAAAACTATTTCTCAGATACTGGTTTTAATAAAATTTTACATAAATAAAAACAGTAGTTCTTTTTTAATTTTTTTTTTAAGATTTTATTTATTTATTTGACAGAGGGAGAGAGAGTAGTGCACAAACAGTGGGAGCGTGAGGCAGAGGGAGAGGGAGAAGCAGGCTCCCTGCTTAGTAGAGAGCCTGACATGGGCCAGGACCCTGGGATCATGACCTGAGCCAAAGGCAGAGGCTTAACAGACCGAGCCACCCAGGTGCCCCAAAACAGAGAATAGTTCTAAGAACCTCAATTCTTAATAATGGTTATATTCATTATTGGGAGCTAATTATGTGCTAGGCACCATGCTAAGGGACTTAGCATGTATCATTTCTAATTTTTACAGTAATTCTAAAGGTAAACGATTAGTCCTGCTTTGAAGAAAATAAACACACTCAAGAAAAATGAAATAATCTGCCCAGTTTCTGCAGACAGGGATTTAATCCCAGGCCAGGCTAAGTCCCTAAGCCCCCTTTCCCACCATATTGATGATTTTGAATAAAAATTTCAAAAATAATAGAAAATAGATAATCATAAGAGAAAAAAATACATCTGCTGCTTTCTAAATAAATCTAATTAAATAATGAGAATTTTCATTGGAAAAAAAAAATTTGTGAGAATGTTTGGTGTGTTAGGATTGGGAGGGACCCTTGATGTTTTCCAGACCTATACTTCACTGTTCTCTGACATCCCACAACAGAGGGCTGGTTTTGTCTTCAACATACTTAGGATGAGGAACTCGACTTCATGGTGTCCTGTTCTTTGGAAAAGTGGCTATTTCTGCTTGTCCACCTCTATACCTGTGTTTATATGTACACACACATATATATGTTTGTGTACAGTAGGTGTATTTGTGTATAAACACACACACATATGTATAGTCTCCCCATTAATCATCAAATAAGTTAGAATCCATGGAGGGGCGCCTGGGTGGCTCTGTGTTCGGCTCAGGTCATGATCTCGGGGTCCTGGGATTGAGCCTCGAGTCGGGCTCTCTGCTCAGCGGGGAGTCTGCTTCCTCCCTCTCTCTCTGCCTGCCTCTCTGCCTACTTGTGATCTCTGACTGTCAAATAAATAAATAAAATCTTTAAAAAAAAAAAGAAAAAGAAAAGAATCCATGGAAACTGGGCCTTTGCTTGTTTACTGATAAATCCCCAAAGCTTAGTTGGTATATAGAAGACTTCCAATAAATATTTCTTGAATGAATGCATGCATATTTATTTTAACTACATTTGTGAATGGAATATAAGATCTTTTAAGTGCTGTCTTATCTCCTTAAAATGTATGTTCATTATTTCCTTTCACTTAACTTGAAAATCTAGTGCTTTCTAGAGGATTTTGCAGAAAAAATGATTTTCCAAGGACTGAGACTCCTCTTTCTGTAGCATGAATGCCTGCTCAAGTGGGTCCCCAGATACATTAGGTAGCTGATGAAGGCATATTTACTGCCTTTAAAAAAAGCTTTCTTCTTTGACATTTACTACCAGGAGTGATCTGTTTTCTTATAGTTGTTAAATATGCTTATTTAAAAAAAAGAGAGAGAGAGAAAAGCAAAAAGAGGAGCCTTCCTGACTTTGCTCACTTCTTTCCTAGGATGACAGTTGTGTTGTGTAAAGAGTTGTCTTCTCTGTCCAAAGAGTTTACTACCTGCCTAACAACTGCTGGGGTAAGAATTCTTGCCTTTTATTGGGCTAATGTCTGTTCTGTGGGCTTTTTTAAAACAGCTCTATTAATATAAAATTTTCATACCATAAAATGTTCCCATTTCAAGTGTACCATTTAGTGGTTTTTAGTATATTTACTGAGTTGTGCAACCATGACCATAATCTAATTTTAGATAGTTTTCATCATCCCCTAGAAAACCTTATACCATTAGCAGTTGCTCCCATTCCCTTCCCCTCCACACTTTACTAGTGCTAAACATCACTAATCTGCTTTCCATCTATAGATTTGCCTGTTCTGGACATTTCATATATATGGTATCATACAACATGTGGTATTTTGTGGCTGATTTCTTTCAGTTAGCCTAATGTTTTTGAGGTTCATCCACATTGTAGCATGTATCAGTACTTATTTTTATAACCAAATAATCTTTTATGGACATATACCACATTTTTCTGTTCATCAATTCATAGACATTTAGATTATTTCCATTTTTCAGCTATTTGAGTAATGTTGCTACAGACATGCATGTGTGCTTTCCTTTCTCTTGGATAGGTAGGAGTGGGATTGCTGGGTCATATGGGCGATATGGGCCATTGAATAACTGCCAAACTGTTTCACAAAGTGGCTGTACCATGTTACATTCTTGCAAGCAATGTAGGAAAGTTCCAGTTTCTCCACATCCTTGTCAACACTTGCCGTTGTCCATTGTTTTTTGTTTTTGTTTTGTTTTTAAATTTTAGCCATCCTAGTAGGTATCAAGTGGTATCTCATTGCAGCTTTTATTTGCATTTCCCTGATGGCTAATGATGTTGAACATCTTTTCATGTATTGTTGGCCATTTGTATGTCTTCTTTAGAGAAATGTCTTTTCTAGTTTTGCCTACTTTCAGATTTGGTTTTTTAAAAGTTATTTTATAAATTGGGTTATTTATTTCATTATGTATCTTTCTGTCATTTATTATTTTAATTATTTGTCTTTTTATTACTTACTATTGTTGAGTTGTAAAAATGCTTTATATATTCTGGGCATAAGTTCGTTATGAGATACATGATATACACGTATTTTCTCCCAGGCCATGGGTTGTTTTGTTTTGTTTTGTTTTTCTTTCTTGGTAGTGTCTTTGCACAAAAGTTTTTAATATTTGTCTAGTTTGTCATTGTTCTCTTTTATCACTGTTCAGTACTTTGGGTATATTGTATCTAAAGAATCTTTGCCTAACTCAAGATCATGAAGATTTACTCCTGTGTTTTCTTCTAAGTGTTTTATTGTAGCTCTTACTTGTATGTCTATAATCCATTTTGAGTTAATTTTTTATGTAGGGTACGAGGTGGGGGTGCACTTTCCTTCTTTTGCATGTGGATTTCTAGTCGTCTCAGCACTATTTGGTAAAAAGCATTTCCATATTGAATTGTCTTGGCCCTTTTGTCAAAAACAATCATAGATATACAGGTTTATTTCTGGACTCTCATTTCTGTTTTACTGGTTTTATGTGTGTGTATCCATATGCCAGTTCCATTTTGTCTTAATTACTGTAACTTTGTGGTAAGGTTTGAAGTCAAGATTGTAAATCTTCCAACTTTTTCAAGATCTTTTATCTTTTTGGGGCCCATGCATTTTCATGTGAATTTTAGGATCACCTTGTCTTTGTTTAGCTGATTTTTGCGACTTATTTTTGTTTTCTCCTTTTATGAAATTTGCAGTATATTTTGTGCTACTCTTTGATTCCTGTACTGGAAACGTAGGCCTTGATAAAATAAAACCCCCAACGTTTGGCAGTATATTTTGTGCTACTCTTTGATTCCTGTACTGGAAATGTAGTCCTTGATAAAATAAAAACCCCAACATTTGGCTCTAGGTTGTTTTTTTTTTTTTAAGATTTTATTTATTTATTTGTCACAGAGAGAGAGATCACAAGGAGGCAGAGCAGCAGGCAGAGATGAGGGGGAAGCAGGCTCCCCACTGAGCAGAGAGCCCAGTATGGGGCTCCATGCGGTGCTCGATCCCAGGACCCTAAGATCATGACCTGAGCTGAAGGCAGAGGCTTAACCCACTGAGCAACCCAGGTGCCCCTGTTTGGCTCTAGTTTTAAGGAGCAATCCCTTACTTAGACTATAACGATCCTTATACTTTGCAGTTGCCAACCAGGAGTAGAGTTGTAATTAAAACAGCTAACTTTTTTTTCTTTCTTTTTAAAGGAATTGTAAAAATTTACTGAAGGTGTGTAAACTATAGAACATGATCAGAAATCAGTAACCACAAATTAGGATAAAATCAGGGCATTTTAAATGAGCAGATAAAAATCATTTTGTGGTAAAACCAGATTCATAGATACAAAGAACAGATTGGTTGTTGCCAGCGGTAGGGAGTAAAGGGTGGCCTAAATAGGTGAGGGGGATTTAAAGGTCTAAACTTGCAGTTATAAATAAGTTATAGGGTATAATTACAGTGTAGGATTGTAGTTAATAATTCTCTATTGCATATTCAAAAGTTGCTCAGAGAATAGATCTTGAAACTTCTTATCACAAGAAAAATATTTTGTAGCTATGTATGGTGACACATGTTAACTAGACTTATTGTGGTGATCATTTTACGGTTTACGTAGATACCAAATCTTGTACACCTGAAACTAGTATGGTGTTGTAATTCAGTTATGCCTCAATTTTTAAAAAATCACTTTGTGGTAAATATGTAAGTGTCAGTGTGGCAGCAGATTCTGGGCCTTTCAACTCATTTAAGAATGCAGTCCCAATTAATTTTTCTTTATGAGTTTAGGTTATTCCTGGAAGGGATAGTCCTGGGATATCTCTTTTCCCCTTAATATTGTCTTTAAAAGAGCTTCTGGGATTCTTAAAGTTAATCTTCTGAGGCCAAATCTTTTCATGTTTCATAAAGATACTTTAAACCTGCAAGTGAGCTATAAAGTGCTAACACATGAGTAATGTTTCCATGATGTATTTCCGTGTTTTTCAAACAGCCCATCTTAAAAACCATTTGAGTATTTTAAGCACATGTTCTGTATCTGCATATTCTGTTTTAAAATTGTTCTAAAGTTTCTGATCATATGTATCATTTCTACCCCTCTTCCAAAATGAAGATACTTTTTAAAGTCAATAAAAAAACTACAAAGGAATACACAGTCAATTGGACAGCACAGGAAGATAAAAAGAGGGAAATTTAAAGCACTTCCAGAGATCATGTTTTGCTCTTTCTCAGTCCAGACTTTTTCTGTGCTTAAATTATGTATGCGTGTGTGTGTGTGTGTGTGTGTGTTTCCAAGTGGGATCACACTCTGCCTACTGGTGCTCACTTAACAGTGTGTCTTCTATTCTAGGTCAAAGAAAAGGCAGACATCCTTAATCCCCTCATCACTGCAGTATTTCTAGAGGTCGGTAGTTAATTTTAAGTCTAACTTTTAGAGTATTATGTATTATTAATGAGCTCTTTTTCAGTCTTTAGTTTTTGGCTTTTTTTTTTTTTTTTATCAGATTGGTAATTTAGCCATACTGATGCAGTTATGACCAAAATGGTGTGTAGTTGACGCAAATTCCCTGTTGATTATTACAAAGCGTAATGATGAAGCTGCTGCGTAAAGCACAACCCGGCAGTAGGCTGTCGGTAGTCAGCACTGTCCACTGGCTGCTGATGGATGATCCTTAGTCATGAAATACCTTCTGGAGACCAGGGGTCAACTTGAAGGCTGAAAATTACAAACAGGCAAACACTGCTTCTGAAAGGACTAAAGTTTATACAGGGAAGACTTGTTACAAAACAAGACAAAACATTCCTTGCTAAGAAATTTGCTTTGTTTTGTCAAAGGTGCCTGTGTTTACAGAATCCTCATCAGTCCGTTAGATCTAAGGAAGGGGGTGGGTTAAGTCCTTGGGAAAGGGGAATGTAAGAGGATCACATGATGGATTATATTGCCTCCTTGTGCAACCCTTTCTGTATTCCAAATTTTAAAAACTCTGTCTTGTCAGTTATGCAAACAATTTAGATGTTTGATACTCTGTTTAAAATATATTTATGTAAGTCAGGGGAGATAATTGGTTAGGTTTTAAATAGGAATTGAAAAAAAGTTTTTTAACTATTGGACTATTACTTCTTTAGTTTTAAATTCTTTTAAAATTATCACCAAGGAAATGCCTTTAATTCGTTAACTGCACAGTTTCCCTTGAATATCAGAATAATTATTCTGATAATTAACACTTAGTGTTTTTGAAAAATTGTGATTTAGTAGGTGGCAGAGTAGTATAGGTGAGAAGTTTGCAAACCAGGAGTCTAGTCCTGTCCTGGGCCTCCCCTGATTTGACCCTGGACCACGCATTTACCTTCTTGACAATCTCATTATCTTTATATGCGATATAAGAGATCTAACCAGATGATCTCTGAGACCTCTTTTGGTTGGAAAATTTGGCAGCAAATGTCACATTAAAGTTTAAATAGGGGTACATGCTATTGATAAATCCAAAAAAGGTTAAGTCACTTAATAGGTTTTCCTTATTGCTATTTCGATTTGGTTGTTCTTGATTACATATCTGAAACACTATTGTCCTTTTAATTGTACATTTTTATCTTAATGTAATGAGCTCTCTATTTTTCTCCTGGAAGATTAGAACTTGTTAGATATTAATGAAGTCTGGAAAACTCTGAGCATGGTAATTCCATGATGCTTCTCATAAATATGTCTGTTATACCACATAGAAATTTATCTATACTTATCATCTGAAAGCAGTTTTCCTTGTTCGTATTTGTAGTCTCTGTCTTGTATTCACTAATTTTATTGAGTCCATGGAAGAAGAGCTGTCATAGTGGACTGAAAATCCGGTTCGTGTAAGAGTCATAGCCTTCTAAAGTCCTTTGAGTAATTGACTAAAAGGTTGTGACAGAACCTACCCATTTAGTAGAGGAATAAATAAACTTCAAATGCCAAATTCAAGCAGGATGTCAAAGAACAGCTACCATTTCAGATGGGCAAGTTGGACAAAAATGCTGATACTCTTTTTTGGTACTGTCATATCTTTTTTTTTTTTTTACCTTTTTTTTTTTTTTTATTATGTTACGTTAGTCACCATTCAGTACATCATTAGTTTTTGATACAGTGTTCCATGATTCATTGTTTGTGTATAACACCCAGTGCTGCATGCAGTACTTGCCCTCCTTAATGGCCCAGTGATGGGTACTGTCATATCTTAAGAGCTAGATCATTCTTTCCTCTCTAACTTTAACTAACTTGAGTTTATGCTTTTGTTTGTCAGGTTACAGATTCAGTTAGATTGTACAAACTAATCTGGTTTTTTGTTGTCTTTTTAGTATATTTTCTCTTTTAAGTGACTGTGATATTTTCTTCCTTTCAATCTTGACAGGCCTCAAACAGTGCTTCCTATATTCAAGACGCCTTTCAGCTGCTCTTACCTGTACTGGAGATCTCTCTCATTGAGAGCAAAACTGAATTTCCAGAGGAATGAGCTGCAGGCCCAGGGCCTTTGTCAGAACACTGACGAACAGAGAAAATTCAACCCAAAACTTGTGACAGCCAAGAAATATCACTCTATTTTGGATACCCCTGTAGAAATGAAGGAGAAAGGATTATTTTAGTGTATAAAATTTAGGCAGGAGAGCAGGTTTAAAGGAGGTTTGTTGCCTTCACTGCTTGGCTAAAATATTCAGGTCTTCATACTGCCCTTCCAAGTTGTTAGAATTATTAAATTATTTGAGAAGAAACTTTTATGGGAAGTTCAAGAATAATAGCTCTAGGTAAAGGATAATGGGGTACTCGGGCAAAAATATTGGTCTTCCTTGGACATGATGCAAAACACTAACAGTTTTGTTATGGTTCCGTATGATTTAGCAGCCCACTGATAGACTTGTTGTGAAGCAAGAGAGAAACGACTTAGTATTCTACGATTCCTGTGCTTGATCTCTTGATGCCATTACCTTTCTCCTTTCTGTAATAAAATCTGTGGCTTTAGGAAAACAGTATATAGAAAGTCTAAATTCTTTGGACTTGGTTAGAAAGTTTCATTTGCTCTTTAATTCTAGTAGTTATTATGGCATGGAGGAGAAACATCTGAGGTATACACGAAGCTACATGAATTAACTACAGCAAAGTGCCCTTGGGCTTCAAATTGTTCTCCTGTCCTAAGGTAACAAGCTTCAAGTTGTAGTTGAACCCACTCAGCTGGGTTCTAGACAAACAAGTGCAGCTTAGAGAACCATTTCATGTTTGCGGGTATTCTGAGTCTCCAGGGTGTTTTTCATGTTTTTCATGCATACCTTATGTGCAGGGTAAATTCCCTAACAGCCAGCTCCAAAGGAGTATTGAAGCTCTTTTAGTAATGGGGTTTTTGTTATTTGATATTGTTGAAAGGGATTATGGAGTCCCATAGAAATCATTTGGAACAGGATTTAACCTGTAAGACACAATATGTTTCTCCTTATTCTTTTTTGTTTTGGTTTAATGTATTTCTTAGCATGTTTATAAATATAACTTTTATCCTTTATATCTTAAGCCTTCTTTTGCTCTCTTCAACAATGTAAGAGGCCACTAAAGTGTGATCTTCCTAAAAGTTTTTTGATATCCACTCTTTTTAAAAAATTCTCCCAACTTTATGGTTGGAGGTAACTATTGTGAGCTCTACTGCTCATCTTCTAAAATCTTTAAATAAAATGTAATAATTATGTTAATTGATCCTTTACTTACTTACTTTACTTACTTTTCCAAACATAAGCCCCAATATTTTTTTAGACCACAGAAATAGCAAAACAAGTCTCTAACATTGACTGATCTCAACACTATTTCTGTGTAATTGCCTTCTTTGGGGGAAGGGAGCAGTTTGTAAGCAAGGAGGAAATAAATAGATTTGGGCTAAAAAGATACCCCATTAGCACTAAAATGTTACTCTGCTTATATTCTGTTCAGATATGATCTGAAAACTTTTGGAACATTTCTTTTTAAGATAAATCTCACCCTTCCCAAAGTAAGTAATTCTGAAATTTCAGAAAAAACAGTTGCCTGTGGTTACTAAAGCTGGTGTCCCCAGTCCTGATTTGTTGCCTCAAGCCCAGTTGCTGTGTCTGAATCTGGTTTCGAAGCTGCTCACACTGCTGACCACCTGTTCAGACGCTTGTACAGTTGTGGCTTGCAGTTTTTACTTTTCAATCTAGAAACATAGCTAAGGTTTTTCTTTCAAGGAAAGGGATATAGATATGGGGACAGAACAGTGACTCTTTTAATGCACCTATCCAGATGGTAGCCCTGAATATGACCAGTTTTAGGTTAGATCTTGCAAAAGGCAGATGTGAATCACCTCCTCTTTTTTCTTACTTACCCTCTCGTCAGCTTCCCCCACCCACCCAAATGTCCTTTTAAGGATTTGGGAGACCATCAGTGAAACAATGATGAAAGGACCAATTAATTCCAAATAACAATTGCCTACCTTTTACCTAAATATAATTAAAAAGAATGAAAGTTCCTTGATTGAGTAGAGAGAAGAATAAGAGCATAAAAATTCTTTGGCAGGTGAAAAGGTAAACTCAGGGGATACTTTGGAACTTACTGGATTATGGCGATGATTTTTGGATGGTGCATGCTTCATTCTGTTTGGGGTGGATACAAGATATAGATTCCTGATGATACCTACCTTGTCTTTTGGTGCTATTTCTTTTAAATTTTCTCTTTTCTTTTACTGCTGTGTCCTCATGTGTGCTACAACACCCCCGTTTCGCAAATCATTTAACACCTTATTGGTAAAATGTTGTTATTACTGGGGTAAGATGCTTCTCTTCCTACTATTGGGATCTGTTGGGATCTTTAAAAGCTGTGATTAAAAGAGACTTCATTAATTTGGTAAAAGAAATAGAAACATCTACAAACTATTTTTTTTTCTTTTTATAATGCCTTGCAGGTGTGTTAAGGACAAGCTATATTTACCTTACTTGCTTTTTTAAAGGCATAGACACCTAAATTGACAGGTTTGTGAAACGTGAGTCTACAATCCATGTGGCTGGCATTCATAGGAATCTGAAATCAGTGTGATGCACAAATGTGGATTTTCTAGGCCTATAATTAGGAAACAAGGCCTTGTCAGTCCTACCCTGAGTGAGGACCCTCTCTTTCTTGTTTTTATCTAAAGACCTACTTAAAAGAGAGGTGTTTATAAGTAGCTGTTGATGTCATCATTTGAGAAATAGATCTCTTTTTTTCTAGATGTATTCTGAGTTTTAAAGGTGGGAATATTCTTCCAGTTGGAAAAACCCAGATTAAAACTGTAGTAATGGGTCCCTCAATAAGCATATTTCACAAATGTCAGAGATTGGAATCTTTTACTCCTTACCAAAATAATGTGATGTTCATTTTCATATAAGACTTAAAATGAAGCATTTGAGAAATGAGGAAGTTCTAAAAATAACAAACCTTAATTAATGTGTCATCAAGGTCTCTGGCTGATATACGAGGAGAATTCTGAAACCTCGCCCAACAGTATCACTTTCCAGCTGCACCATGATATTCCACAAGCACCATGCACGCATTTCCCCGCTTCACTTGCAGCCCATGTTACGACATCCTTGCTTGTGATTACATCATGTGGCCAAACCCCAAAGTTCCTTCATGTCTAACATCAGTTCCCCAATCAACTTTTTTATTTTCACAGTGCAACAGAAAGTGATTTTATCGCTGTGAACAAAATACAACAAAGCTTAGCAGAAGCCCAGTCAACTCTTTAGGAAATTTTTAAACAATTGAAATATTCTCTGAACTCATTTGTCCTGTAAGCCTCACATTGGTGCCGCTGAGCTCTCCAAGAAAGGAAGTGGGGCAGACGCTCTGATGGATGAATTGTGGCTGGGTTGGATGGACGTGTCTCAGATCTCATTGTCATTGTTGGGTCAGTCCAGCTTAGCAAATGTTTGCCAGATGCATCCGTCAAAACTCTCAAATCACTACTTTTGGTGGCTTGTGTCTCAAGAGACCAATTTTTGCCATTTACATCAAACACAGAATGATGATCTATTGTTCACAGTAGTTAAAAAGAGGAAACTGACCTGTGTAGAGCAGCTTGAGTACCAGGTACCACAGAACACACTTTTCTTTGTAATCCTCACAGCTGTGCGAGGTGGGGCAATGGCACCTTAGCGTGTGGGCCTGCAGGATGGCGTAGAAGTGAGGCGCAAAGACAGGCTCAAAAATGGACCTCAGCTCCCTCCTATTCCAGCCTTGCGTCATGAGCAGGTGACTTAATCCCTTAAATTGCAGTTTTGTCATCTGTGAAATCGATCTTGAAACAGAACTTGTATTATAAAGTCACTGATAGGATTAAATAAAATGATCTGTATGAAGTGCTTAGAAGAGTGCCTGCCACATGGCACTATGTGCTTAATGCTTACTAGCCAGACACTGCTCTGATCATTTTACATGGACTAATTTAATCCTCACGACAGCTCCATGAGATAGGCACTGGTAGTATGCCCATTTACAGAACAGAAATCTGAGGCACAGAGGTTAAATAACTTGCCTGACACACAGTCAAGTAGTAGAGTCAGGATGCAAACCCAGGCAGCTTGTTACCTGTGTTCTGTTTTCAACTATGACATCACACTGCCACCGTAACAACTATTAAGCTACTTTTGTTACAATGGTATGAAACAGTCTCAGAGGGTTCAGTGATTTCCCCTGCATTTCACTAACTAAATGACAGAGCTCCTGCAGTGTGAGCCCAAGTTGTCTGCCTCCCAAAGTCAGGTTTGTTCTGTTTTATTTTTTCAAGGGGAAAGGCGTGGTGGTTCCTCTCTAGTGATAAATACCTATAGGGGAGCATCTGGGCGCATTATCCTAAGCCACTAGAAGTTGGCATAGAAAAGATGGTGTGGTGAAAAGGCATGTTTGCCACAGCGGGAACAAAGATCTCCGTGAAGTAAGAGCATCTGTATCAATTAGCGATCAAAAAGGAGAGAGGAGTACACAAATGTTCGCAGCAGCCTCATTTGTAACAGCCCCAAACTGGAAACTATGCAGATACCCTTCAGTGGGTGAGTGCTTAGACAGACAGTGCTACATCCACACCTGGATAACTACTCAGAAATTAAAAGGAATAAACTATTGATCCATGCAGGAACTTGGATGGATCTCAAAGGAATTACACTGAATAAAAAAATCCCCAAATGTTACATACTGTATATTCCATTCGTATAACATTGGAATGACAAATTTATAGAAATGGAGACCAGGTAACAGTTGCCAGGGGTCAGGAATGGGGATGTGGGAGGAGATAGGTAAGTGTGGCTTTCAAAGGGCAATAGGGGAGATCCTTGTGATGGAGAACCTTAACTGTGGTGGACACACAGACCTACTCATGTGATAGAGTGTACAGAATTTTAAATGTACACACAGACACGCACACGGGTACAAGAAAAATGGAGGAATCTGAATGAGATAAGTGGATTGTATCATTGTCAATATCCTGGTTGTAAAATTTTAGTTTTGCAAGATGTTAACCTTTGGGGGAAATTGGGTAAACGATATACAGGATCTCTCTGTTAAAATTGCATGTAAATCTTCAATTATCTCAATAACTATTACAATCAAAAATAGAGGGAGGGGTTCCTGGGTGGCTTAGTCAGTTAAGCATCTGACTCTTGGTTTCACCTCAGGTTGTGATCTCAGGGTCCTGGGATCCAGCCCTGTGTCAGGCTCTGTGCTCAGCATGGAGTTTGCTTAGGATTCTCCCTCCCTTCTCCCACTGCCCTTTCTACCCCCCCCCCCCAAATAAATAGATAAATTTTGGTGGGGGAAGGAAGGAGAGAGCTTTGGGCCAGGGGAGCCAAAGAGTCCAAAAATGTCCACTCTCCGGATTTAACAAATCCGGATTTAACAAATTAAGGGGTCTCTTATGTGAAAGTCCCTATCACAGACAGTTGGAAGCCAGGATGGTGGCAAATGTGGCTCTGTCCGCCTCCTTTCCATAAGTGGGCACTTTGGTAGCAGGTGTTAGGCTAAAGGCCAAAGTGGAAGAGAAATAACGAAGATCCCAAGTGAGCGGAGAGAGAATACACTGTGGCAACGAGCAATGCAGATAAGTACTGCTAAGGTTTGTTCTTCTGCATTTCCTAAGTCTTCAGGATCAGAGGAGGAGACCTTTGAGGTGGTTCTTGGTTCTCCTATATTGTCAGGGTTTGTTTGCATGGCTTAAAAAGGGGCCTGCTCAAATGGAATTGGGATGAGGGAACATCGCCACCTAGTGTTGGTGGGTCCCTCAATTGCCAGTGGCCGTTTACAATCCCCTCAGCTTGTCATTCTTTCCCAGCTCATTTCCCCTGATAAGGCAGAGCAGCAAAATGTTTATGAGCAAAAGTAAAGCTAGACAGCCTCAGTTCATATCCCTTCTCCACCTCTTCCTGGCTGGAGGACGTGGAGAATTGGTCAACCTCTCTGTACGTTGGTTTCATGATCTGTCCAATGAGGATGGCAGCTGCCTCACAGTTGGATAAAGTAGTGTACACATGTGCTGGGCACAGAGCCTGGCCACGGTAATCACTCCATACATGTTAGTTCGATGACTATGACTCTAAGATGTCGGGCTCCAAAAGCTGCTTCATATTCTGCAAGCCAGAATATCTATTTTCTTCCCTCCCTCCTCTTTCCTTCCTCCCTCCTCTCCTTCCTTCCTCCCTCCCTTCATTCTTT